GTGTTGCGCTGACATTTGCCAAGTGCGTCTTAAAAGGCTTTAATCGGTCTTCGCCGTGTTTGTTTTTGGGTTGCCGTGGAAACACGGCACATAAATGTCTAAGTGATCCATCATCTTTTCACTTTTTCCTCACACTTAAAGTCTCACTTTCGCCCTCTCTCTGTTCTTCACCAGTGCTCTCGCATGGCCATGACACTTCACGAAGTGTGAGCAAATGAACTCCGCATGTTCCAATGGGGCTAGCGTCGGCCATGTTTGCTGTTCATTCTGGAGTGGGAATGACTAGGCCAAAAGGAAAATAAAGTCTCCCTGTATTATCCATATAATGCATGCAATTCTCATATGTGTTGGGTAATTTTTTTTGTAACTTTAAAAAAAGCTTTTAGTGAAAACAACAGCACAAGCATCAGTAAGTATTGGAAATTATTTGATGATAAATTCTATAATATTTTGTGCTGTTGTTTCACTCTAAAACAATATATCCTGCTTGATAAAAGTGCTTGGTGTTCACACTTGTAGTTCGGTTCACTTGGTTCGTTTGGTCCGGACCAAAAAAAAAACCTTTTAGCCCTGGTCCTCTTTGCATTCACATCAGCATTTTAACACCGAACCTAAAGGCATAGGGATATGTTCAAGGCTTTTATTACGTATATTTCACAATGGACCTTTGGAACCAAAACAACGTTGTGTTCTGGGCTAAATGCGCTCGTTGTATGTGCGTAGTCTACATATGATGGAGCTGACAACTTGTGAAGAGCTTATAAAATGTGTAAAGGAGTCAAAACAGTGGCAGGAATCCTTTCGTCACACACAAACGAAGATCTGCTGTGAGGAGTCATGGTTCTGATGCCTACCAAACTGTGATGGGTCGCGACTATGACTAGTAAAAAACAGGTTTGCTTGAGCATTCGGTCAGTTTTAGGGTCACATCTAGTGACATCATGTCCCGTTTTTGGTTAGTTTTTCAGCGTTCTTGGTCCGCTTGTTTGGTGCACACCAGGGTTCAGATGGCAGCGTTCACATTTATTTAAATGAACCGCACTAACAGAGCAATCGCACCAGGGTCTGTTTTAATCCAACCAAACCTGTCAAGTGTGAACACAGCCTAAGTCAGTTAGCTACACTTTAGCTTTATTATTTGATTATCCCCACTTCCACGTCTTGCCATTTGTAAAAACAAATCTCTAATTGACAGTCAACTTGATTTAAATTTTTTGTTTACATCTTGTAATAACACTCACTGATGTTGTCACTTCCTTGAGGAAGCTTCCTTAAAGTTGCCAAGTTTTCATCTAATATGATTTTTGGTTTTATGTGTATATATGACATTTAATCCAATATTAAAATGCAAATGAATCATCCAGCATAGTAGAAATTACCTGGGCACTGTGGTCAAAGATGTCATCTACTTATCAGCTATTGGTTCCTTTGACAAATATCTGGATTGAGTCTTCCATATGGTGACAAAACAAACACAGCCAGAAGCTAATGACGCTGGTGTGGTGACCAGGTGTTTTTATGAAAGGAAGCAATTGGCTGGAAATCACAGTATTGTTTTTCTCGTAAGGTGCTGCATCCCTACATGATGGGCAAACTCTCACTGTGTTCCTGTTGAGGTGACATACTTGATATAGTTGCCAGTTCCCTCTTTGGGTTGTGTATTTTTTTTCTTTGTGGTTTCTCTAGAAAAGGACATTACCTGAAGTAGATAGTAGAGAATTTAATCAAGCCCCCACACAGCGTGTGTAATCGAGGTGATACCATCAGTGTGGCATAGTTATTACAGGCCCAGGTAGGAAACATGATGGACGCCGGTATAATTGTGATAGTGGCCCAAAGATGATCTACTATATCCACTCCACACCATCTTGTATAACTTGCTCGAACCATTTTCTTCCACTTGGTTAAACACTGATGCATCAGCTAGTTTTTACTCCTATTACCACTGCCATCAAAGAGAAAATACAGCAAGCACTAAGATGTTTTCACATGCATTTTGTCTCCTACGTTTCCCTGGAGAAACAGGCCTGAATCTCAAGATGGCAGAAATAACATTGGCACATCTTAGACCTCCTTGTACATATGATCTGTAGGATTCAGATACAGTGATGTGTTCGCCAAGCATGCCACCTGTTTGTTTTTTTGCAATTATGTAAGAATCTCTTGAATCTGCAATGTTGTATATAGATGAGCATGCTACGTCTTGCTGTGAAGATGGCAAGACCTTTTCTGACCTTCACTATTTGTGAGGGGTCATCTGATATAAACATATTCATTCCATTGTGAAATGTTATTCTCCCAAGAAACAAATCAAAAAAAGAGCGCTACACCCTACACACGTTCCTGCGATCCCTTGGACAGAATGAATTTCACATCTACTGAACAGGGGATGCATTGAGACTGACAGGGAACCAACCGAACACGCTGTATACGATTTCCCACACTTTGCAACAATAGCCCACAACATGCAACCCAAACTAATCAACATAGAAGAAACATAAATACATTTCACTTTCCCATACATGTCTAGCTGTCTATTTTTCCACTCAAAAATTGGTCTCTTCTAGAGTTTAAGATTAAAAGCATCAGACCAAATATGTTTTTCTCCAACTTGCTGGTTAAGAAGCGATCGTTGGCCACCTGTTCCATCTAAGTGTTATTTCTGGGAACAAAAGCGTATTGCTTGCCTGGATGTAACTAATGTGAAAACACCTCATTCACGGCAGTTGGCAGCTAGCCATCCTGGGTCACCGGCTTGCACACTGAGCTGATCAAATCCATCTCCACAGTGACTGTGCATGTCCCTGCTAAACCATTATCCTTCCACAGTTCAGGGTAAATGAGGGCTAACGCATTACATGCTGTGAGTGAACCTGCCGCAAGCAATTAGGTCTCTCTCAATCCTCTGTTTTCCTTGGTCTGTGATTCACATCTGTTCCTTGACAACTACACTCAACTGTTGCATAAGTAACACAACACATCATTTATGCTGCTGGACAACAGCCAATTTTGGCTTGGTTTGTGAATGTTTCAACTACGGCTGAGCAGTATAGATAAACAATTATACCTCTGTAGTTTTCAGAAAATACAACAATAGGTGTTAATAAATGTCTGTAATGTATTTTTACTAAACATTTTAATATATTAAAAATACCCTAAATTGATTGCAGTTTAAGCACCAAGTTTACTAAACAGGCAAATTAGCACGAGAACGCAATTATAAAACAACCTACTTGTGCTTTTTTTGGGGCAGTAAATGATGGAGCAAATACCAGTAAATTGACGAGCGCAAACCTTATTAAATCACCCTGCATGATTCATTTAAATACTCTCCTCCCATAAATTTTGCGTCTGAAAGCGGAACTCCTACATATGCAATAAGGTCAGCCGCAAGAATAACCCTGTCCATGCCTTTTCAGCACTAATTTTACACTGCGTGTCTTTAGTGAATCCTGACAGTACATTTTTTTACGCAGAAAGAGGGTTTGTTCTGGAGCAAGCTGTTAGTAAATCTGTCCCTAAATCAGACTGTTTTAAAACATCTTTTTTTTAACGCTCTTATACTCACACAAGCTATCGTCGTGTGAAGTGTCTTAAAATGTGCTTTGTGACCCTTTAGCAATAAAACTGAAATAAGCACTAATGCATCGCAAATGTTTCTGAGGACAGTTTTTCCCCTTCATTCTTACTTCCTCTTAAGTAGCTACAAAAACAATGCAGCCCCCAGTGTATCAGAAATCGAAACGGCCCCTCACTGACACCTGTAATGAGGTCACAAGGGATTGGGGTTTCGTCTTATACTTACCATATTCAGAGACTCGCTTGGGTTTTCAATGTTGCAGTGCGTAATACCTAGGTGTTTCAATCTAATTAGCTCTTTAAAAAACTGTGTTTGTCTTTAAACATACATTTTGTCCTTCATCCCAATCTTTTTGCATCTGAATCAAGCCTCTTAAAGATTTGCAAGCACAATGCTAGAGCAGCCCTGACCTCAGTTTTAGCCTTCAAGTGGGTTTGAAGAGAGAGTGAAGGAAGAAATGTGAATCATTTGTCTGATTAGAGCTTGAAACCACTGATTGCCGCCAAGTACTTAGCCACCACTGATGGCTATATCCCACCACTCTGGCCTATTACTCTCAATCTGTGCACCATTAGTCAAGCACGTAGAGAAAAAAGGGTAGATTTACTGGATTATCGCTTCCTCTTGTCTGCCTTTTGTATTTTGTTTTGTGTTAAGCACATCAGTTGAATTCGTATGCATTCACCTGCGGTTTCTCATGTACCGTTTGGGAAGGCGACTGGGCCTGATCATCTTTGATCCACTGGGATTAGATTGAAGTTGGACGGGGTCTTGAATTGGTTGTAATGCTTGGCGCTTTCATCCTGGGAGATTAAATTAAAGGCAGGATCAGAGATCGGGACTGTCTGCTGGAAGCTGCTTTGAATGCAGCATTGGAGAGCTTTCTGTTTTGTACTTTAAACGTTAATGTCCTGTAGTCACAGCTTAGCTGAGAGAGTTGAATTTGAAGAATTTGAATTTGACCTACTTTTCTAACATGTGCTCTGGTGTTGAGCGTAATGACGTCAATCGGTTGCTCTCTGGCGGCAAGTGATGCACACAGTCTATGATCCTCTCATGTGGAGACAATTGGTCTCAGGTGTAAATTTGACTTGGATCTGGAGATGAGAATGTAAAGATTTTAGGAGGTCAGGCATATTTTAAAGCATTTTGATTTATTTGTGCCAGTGACCCACTTCCCACATCAACCTTGTTACACACATTTTGAACAACACACCTTGTTCAAAACCCTGAACACATAAACCAAAAAAAATTATATTCGGGTGAAACAAAATATTCCCTTAATGATATGATATTGAAAACCGTTCAGGCTAGAGTATTGCACAAGATTAAACCTTTTATGTAAAACTCATAATGTAAATGTTCTTCTTTGTTAGGGTAACCTTTGATTGGTTGATGTTTTTCATTGTTTATCTCACAGAATCCATCTCAGGTGGGGACGGCCCTACAAGTGTTTTATAACCTTGGCAATCTGAGAGAGACCATAAGAAGTGTGGTAGATGGATACAGGACATCTGTGCAGGAGAACGTTGTTAATGCCCTGGACATTAAAGTCCTCACTCAACCTGCAAACACCAGAGGTATGTTTGTTAAGTGCATTTGTGGCTGTGTTTTAGAGTGCTTGATGATTTTGCATTGTTTTAGTGTGTGCATTTTGTGTCTGCTATATTTAGGTGCCCCTGGCAGAGCCGTCATGCCCACTCCAGGGAATACGGCTGCGTTTCGAGCTGCTCTGTGGACGAATTTAGAGAAACTAATGGACCAGATTTGTGCCGCGTGTGGTCAGGTATCAAACTTACACAGATGTTACTATTATGAAACACTGTTATTGTCATTAGGCAAAACACCAGTAGTTCACAGATGTCCCTATCCATTTTGTCTGGTGTTCACTTGTAAAGGCATTAAATATTAAGCTCTGAAATTAACTTTTGGAAAAAAATATGCAAATTAACTTAAATAGAAAGTGCATGATATTAAAATCGGCATATCACACTGTGCTTATTTTTCTGTTTTGTTCCCCATTATATATTTTTAAAGCTAGCGTGTTAAGATTAGATGACGCTTGAAAGGGGTCATTGAATTATATGTTGTCTAAAGTTTCTACTATGTTCCTGAACAGGTGCAGCACCTGCAGAAGGTTCTAACCAAAAAGAGAGACCCAGTGACTCATGTGTGCTTTATTGATGAGATCATCAAGGTGAGACGGATGATATAATTTCACACCTACATTTTGCTTTATTTGTTTTTGCTGGAATAGGTGTGCAATTAAATTTCATCAGTTTGGAGAGTTATGTGTATTGATATTGTGTGTATCCCATATGTGAAGAGTTTGTCCTTGATATGTAGTGATTTATTACAAAGGATTTTGTGTGTGTTGCCCTTGCCTGTGGCTGACCTGCCTACATAGCCCCTGCTGGTTCACTTGCTGCTGGCACATTAGCAGTAAATGACATCCTAATTGGTGTCTGCAGGTGGCTGGCCCCTCTGTGACAAGGTTATCTACCCCACACGCATACACACTTATGCACACACACATACATCCACCAAACATTTTCAGCCAGACAGTGATGGGACAATTTTTATCTACATTCTCCATTTGGTTCTGGGTGACTTTGTGAACTAGTGTGTGTTGGCACACGCTGAGTGACAAGTACAGTGTTTGCAAAGGCATATGCAACGCGTTTCCCCTTTGGTATCCCCGACATCCGTGGCTCTCCATTCCTTCAGTTGCGAATTTGGCTAATTACAGCCGGTAATTAAGGTGCTATTTTCTGCTAAATGAAGGGCTAAACTGTGAGATCAGAGCAGTTTAGGAAGGGGTGGTAAGATTTCACAGATGGATTTCAAAGAGAGCATAATAATGCAGTGAATTAGAACTGGCCTCTAGCTATGCATTTCCTTAAATCATAACCAGCAAAGCTTAAATGCGGCATAGACTTCAGAATATCTGATGCAGAATTGTTACATGGGCTGTATTTGGAACAGCACACTACTTGTACTATTATATGTTCTGTTTGCATATTGTGTGCAGTATGCACATTTTACACATGCATTTTTATGTTTTAATGAAAATTTGTGTCCTGAATGATTTTATAATTTAGGTAGAACTTTTAAAGATTTATAAAAGCATTAATGAACTCAAGGGAGTGCTGTTTTTTTAACATGATAATTACTGAAGTGGTTTAGCTTTGATTATATAGCTGTATTTTCACTATATAGCACAATACATGGAATACTGCACTGGTCAACATGAAGCAAATCAACCATAATTTTAAACTTCTCTTTCTTTACGCACCATCTGGCTAAACTGACAAAGTTGGATTACAATGATGCAATTTCATGATAACTGCACACCACTAGCTCATTTAAATAATTTTTTTAGATCAAGCGACAACAACATAGCATACTACTACATACTAATGCTTTCCATTGCATACAGTATTTGCCAAAGAATGCTAAATTGCATTTCAAACACAGCATTTTTGTGTGTTTGTGAGAAAGAGAAAAGGTCTGTCTCCAATCATACAGTCGCTTTTGCTCTTTTACTCTGTTGGTATTCCTCCCGTTTTCACTCAGTAAACAGTTTTGGGGGAGATGAGTTGAGCGGCTTCTAATCACCTCTTGGAAATCGAGATTTTCGGTCAGAAGATTGAGGTCTGCTGGAATGGGGGGCAGGTGGGGGTGTTTCCATGGAAACACCTTCTCCCGTTCTCCCATAGACCTCCCATTTTTTTATTCCTTACTGGAAAAAAACAGAAAGAAAAGGGGACAAAAAGTTTGATTCCAGAGTGTGGGTAGTAATGCCCAATTTGACCACTTCTCTCATAGTGTAAGAAAAGATTGCATCCGTCTTTCAAGGGTGATTAAGATAATAAAGGTAAAATAGTGCTACATCATATTTGTTGATTTAAAACGATGTAATATGTGTTGATATAAAAGTTCAATGACTCTCAGTAGAAAGGGACACCTTGAAATTCAGACCACCCAGAATGACTGACAGGGTGTCGTTGGGTGCTCAGAGAGCCATCAGCTGTAGATGAAAGAGACGGCCGGCATTTAAAAGGCCCCATGAAAGGTTTTGCAGGGCGGGCACTTCTCTTGGAGCCTCACACGGCTGTAAAAAGCCCTACAGCGCCTCTGAACCTTCAGTTTAACAAGGTGCATGCAAGAGATGAGCTGCATATGAGGTTTAGGAAAACACATACAGGAACTTTGTGCACAATAAAGCAGCTGGCAGATTCCCTGGAGATTGGAAAAGGTGGGTGAATGCCATGTTTTTTTGTTTTCTTTCTCTGCCTCCGCTTCAAAAGCTGTTTTCAAACTCCCACAATCTCACACCTATATTTGTGGCTAAAACACCCCCCACACACGCACCCATCGGAAAGCAAAACCTGCAAACCGCTACATTTAACAGTTACACAAGTAAGACAGACCTTCCCGTTGAATTCCCAGCTGCTTTTATGTAGCAAACAAGCCTTCTGTTTCTCTGGCATGAGTTCATCTACACCAATGGCCCTCTTGTTCACTTCAGGTGTCATTAATGTGAAATACAACTCTACCACAGAAAAGAAAATGGCAATTGCCTGAAGTAGTGGAGCAAATATGAAACACGCTTGTATTTTACTAGAGCAAAAAAGAAAGAAAAGCCAAGATTGGAAGTATTTTATTGATGATGGCACTGAAATCATGCCACACTGTATGCCACAACCAATGGAAAATGTAATAAGACATTCAGAATAGGTAATTTATGAGGAAATGTGTAAAGTTTATATTTATAAAGTCACATTAATTTAAGAATCTTATTTTATTTTAGCCTTATTATTGATGATGCCACACTGTCATCACTGACATATCTGTTATGGACGCTGCAAGTTTCTTTGTGTGCAAAACCTGATGATTCATGATTTCATAATACAAGGACATCTTGTGAAATTTAATGGACCTTTTGTACAATGGTGTTCACATGCTCAGTACATTTCTTTTAAACTTAACATCAAACTTTTTTTTTTTTTTTTTTTTACTTGCTGTTAATTCTAGATTTAAATTAAATCACAGATTGTCATTGTGAACCCACTGTATATATACTTAATATTTTCCAACTTGGAAGTATTTTTCAGATTTGTAGCTGCAGAAATTGTGTGAATCATAAGACAGAGTCATTTATATCACTGTAAAGTCAGTGCAAACCCCTTTAGGCTGATGTATAGTGAGTCAGTGCAGACAATCAAGGCATTTTGATACGCACAGGTGATGCGCACACCAGCCTCTCTATACACACACACATATATATTGAGCAAGCAGGTAGATTAGCACATGCAGCACATGTCCATCAGCATTAGGCCATATTTGTGTTGTCATGATTCCCAAATGATTATAGACTTCCCTATTTACACACAAATACACACATGGCTCAGACAGTCATTGTTCTGTCAGTGATTTGCTAATGCCAGTGTTGTCTGAGTGATAGCATAGTGTAGGGTTCATATTCTACTCTTTGTGTATGTTTTTTTTACCCTGTTTGCTTATATTGTCAGCCCAAATGTCTTACACCAAAAGGATTGTAATTTGTTTTCATGTGACAATTTTCCACCCTTTCTCCAAATACTACAACTTTTAAGACTAGTGTATGTAAAAAATCTGTTATAGCCTAACTGCTTTGCATGTGAAATGAGTAAGAAGAAAATGTGTTTAATCGCCATGATTGTAGTTTCTATTGAGGGTTAAACGTGACCTGGACATTGGGGTCAATAAAGACAATCATATCAGCTTTGTTTGCATAGTGTGTTAATGTGTTTGTTTTTATGTGTGTCAAAGGCCATTGTGGTAAAGTTCAGCTCTGGCTGGTGCGTGTAATGTGTTTTCTCTATCTCTATTTCTCTCAGGATGGGCAGCCTGACATCTTGCACACCTTCTGGAGTTCAGTCACTCAGACGCTCTCTGAGGAGCTACAGAAAGCCACAGCTGGTGAGTTTCAGTCTGAGGTTTTTGTTTAAGACGATGCCCTGCCATGCATCTCAAAAGCTCATTCTGTGTGTGAGTGTGTTACACAAGCGCCCCTCCTGCGCCTTGTCTCTCTCTTCTCCTCCGCTCTTGCTTTCTTTTCATCACATTGCAGTCGGATTCAAACTCTATTACCCACGTACACACTTCTGGTGTTGCTTTTGAGAAGACTGACTGTTAACCCTTTCCTCTTCTAACTGAGGTTGTAAGCGATCTCAGATATTGTTCATCTGCAGCCTTTACACTATCGTCTCGAGCCTGGAGGGCGTTTACATTTACGTAGGCTCTGATGATTCTTCAAGCTCAGACAGAGCCAATGAGTACGGAAGAGGATTAGGGCCAAGCAATAATAAAAAAAATAAAACCATCTCGAGATTAAAGTCATTATAATGCGAAATTAAACTCGTTAAATTTCGAGAAAAAAGTCGAAATACAATCTTGAGAATAAACTCATTAAATATCGAGAATAAAGTCGTTGTGTTTCGAGAAAAAAGTCGAAATACAATCTTGAGAATAAACTCATTAAATATCGAGAATAAAGTCGTTGTGTTTCGAGAAAAAACTCGTTAAATTTCGGGAAAAAAGTCGAAATACAATCTTGAGAATAAACTCATTAAATATCGAGAATAAAGTCGTTGTGTTTCGAGAAAAAACTCATTAAATTTCGAGAAAAAAGTCGAAATACAATCTTGAGAATAAACTCATTAAATATCGAGAATAAAGTCGTGTTTCGAGAAAAAACTCGTTAAATTTCGAGAAAAAAGTCGAAATACAATCTTGAGAATAAACTCATTAAATATCGAGAATAAAGTCGTTGTGTTTCGAGAAAAAACTCGTTAAATTTCGAGAAAAAAGACGAAATACAATCTTGAGAATAAACTCATTAAATATCGAGAATAAAGTCGTTGTGTTTCGAGAAAAAACTCGTTAAATTTCGAGAAAAAAGTCGAAATACAATCTTGAGAATAAACTCATTAAATATCGAGAATAAAGTCGTTGTGTTTCGAGAAAAAACTCGTTAAATATCGAGAAAAAAGTCGAAATACAATCTTGAGAATAAACTCATTAAATATCGAGAATAAAGTCGTTGTGTTTCGAGAAAAAACTCGTTAAATTTCGAGAAAAAAGTCGAAATACAATCTTGAGAATAAACTCATTAAATATCGAGAATAAAGTCGTTGTGTTTCGAGAAAAAACTCGTTAAATATCGAGAAAAAAGTCGAAATACAATCTTGAGAATAAACTCATTAAATATCGAGAATAAAGTCGTTGTGTTTCGAGAAAAAACTCGTTAAATTTCGAGAAAAAAGTAGAAATAATCGTGAGAATAAACTCATTAAATTTCGAGAATAAAGTTGTTGTGTTTCGAGAAAAAAAGGCGAAATGAAATGTAGAGAATAACGCATTCGATCAGTGTTCATTGCATAGCCTACTGATAGAGGACATGGCAGAGTTGGATCACTTAGTCGAGCTATATTTTAGACTTTATTTCAGTAACAAAGAAATACTATCAACTTTAGCAGTAATGTATTGCATTAAAAGTGTCACTGAATTTGCCCGTGCAGAACTTTACTGATAAAAGACGTTTGAGCCATCACTTGAACAACTGCTGCATGAACAACGAACAGTGCTGGCCCAAATGCACTCTGGCATGACAGCTATGATAAATTAAAACCGTATGTTCGGCATTGCCATTAATGGCTGTATAGATGGTTACAGTCGTTACATTCTGTGGATGGAGGCGTACACAACCAATAACGATCCTAAAGTAATAGCCAATTTTGCTACTTCATAAAAACAGTTACTGGCATATGAGGGTGTCCCGAGAGCTCCGCGCGGACATGGGGACAGAAAATGCATAGTGTGGCAGCAATGCAAAGGTTTTTACAAAGTAACCATGGAGACAGTTTCTCGAAACACAACGACTTTATTCTCGAAATTTAATGTTTATTCTCACAATTATTTCTACTTTTTTCTCGAAATTTAACGAGTTTTTTCTCAAAACACAATGACTTTATTCTCGAAATTTAATGATTTTACTCTCAAGATTGTATTTCGAGTTTTTTTCTCAAAATTTAACGAGTTTTTTCTCGAAACACAACGACTTTATTCTCGATATTTAATGAGTTTATTCTCAAGATTGTATTTAGACTTTTTTCTCGAAATTTAACGAGTTTTTTCTCGAAACACAACGACTTTATTCTCGATATTTAATGAGTTTATTCTCAAGATTGTATTTCGACTTTTTCTCGAAATTTAAGGAGTTTTTTCTCGAAACACAACTTTATTCTCGATATTTAATGAGTTTATTCTCAAGATTGTATTTCGACTTTTTTCTCGAAATTTAACGAGTTTAATTTCGCATTATAATGACTTTAATCTCGGGATGGTTTTATTTTTTTATTATTGCTTGGCCCTAATCCTCTTCCATAAATGAGAGAGTCCAGCATAAGGAGAAAAAAAAAGATCTCTCCGCTTATCTCAGGCTGTTATCGTCACTAAGGAGCAGGATGAATCAAGGCAGGTGTTTGGTTACAAGGGAATATGGAGGAAAATGGAGACCTTCGAAGTTAAAACGTGAGATTAATTTGACTCCACAGATGTGTAACCAAAACAGACTTCTCTCTTTACACAACATCTCAGTGTTTGCAAATAAATTACAGCATTATTGGAGTGTTGGGGAGTAACCAACCAAAAGTTGTGCCGCTGTTAATTTTACATTTTTTTAATAAACTGCAGAAGGATAGTATGTCATATGATGATTCTTTAGATAAGTAGATAAGTGCTGTATGCTTTGAATTAGCCTGTAACTGGGGAAGCTACCATTTCAGAGTCACTTCTTCCACCAAGTGGGATGGAGTGAGATTTTCCTTAGACTTTTGTATTGTATATCAACTGATGGATTTCTAGGCTGGTAACAGTGCATTTTACAGAGAAATTTTATCCATAGCTACTTGTAAGTTAATGCCAATGACCTTGCTGTTGTTAGTGTCATGCTCTAGTAACCAAAAGGTTATTGTTTCAAACCCCAGAAGGGACATTTCATGCGCTATAACCATTGCTCTCTTGATTTAGGCACTTAACTTTCTCCAGAGAAAATGTTTTCTGGATGAACGAGTCTGGCAAATGAATACATTTAAATTTCATTATTAACTTCATTGATGACATCTACATTATTTTGGTGGCAGTATTACAACAGAAAACCACTCTAGATACCACAGAATCGACTCATTAATAGAGCACATGGCTTATGATTGCAACCAGTGTCTATCTTAATTAAAGTGCTAAACATCTTGGACAGCACGTCCACCCTGCAGAGACACAGTAATTTAGACCGTGGCCTTGATGGTGCGGCCCTATTGATCCCTGCCTGTGTTATCACGACCTAAAGACGCTTTGTGCTTCACTCCCGCTGATCAATAGAAAGCAAATAGGAGCCTTTGCATCGCTTTCATTATCCAAATGCTTCTGCATTACTCCCTCTTATAAGCCTTTATCAAGCCTGATTTGAAACCTCTCAATCAAACTTGCTTTTATATTCTCAGAACCCTAGGTGGCTTACTTGCATACATCTATTAAGGTAACTTTGCCAAAATACTCTCAAAAACAGAGAATGTTCAAGGTGAAGATGCTCTCAAAAAAACTATTACGGCTTCAAGTGGCCATCAGAAAACATTTTAGTTCTCGGGTCGACTGTTATAGACTCTGTCTTGAGACATCACTGCTCCAAAAGCCTTCAAAGAAGATCTGTTTATAAATGATTTATCGCTCTCTCTTTGTCCTAAAATACGTTTTATGACTACTGACAGCTCCCTGCCTCTTCCCAGAATTATTTCCTGAACTGTTTGTCTTTCAAAGAGGATGTCAAAGGATGAAGCCAGTGTTCCTCTCAATGCTTAGCGTGAGCTTTGTCTTCACATTGCTTGAACCCTGGGGACCCATGAATTATTTTGCTATTCGTCAGGGTGCTGGTTTAGGGTCAGTTCTGCTGTTTTTATTATTAATGTTATTTTTCTCTTTTATTTCATTATTGTATCACAACATGAAAGGCAAAATCTGGACCTTGACTAAAACTAGTTCAATGAACATGCCATTTTTCACCATTTCACCACTGACATTTGTTTGTTGTTGTTTTTTATGCACCTCGTCACCTTCCCTGAGGAAATATTTTCTTGACTGTCAATGGTTGTGTTTGTACACTGCTCTATGGCAGTTTTATGTAGTGTGGAAATTTAAGCTTCACTGCCAGCAATAACTCAGAAACGTAGCATCCACTGAACATGTTTACAGCTAATAGTCAGTACTCCATCAGTAGAGCAGAACTACCGTGGCTCGCCTTTGTTTGGGTGACGGTGAAACAAAGATAAAAACCGTTTAAAATTCTTGCTCCTCTGCTCAATTATGCATTCATCAAATCAATTTGCATAGGAAACAATCTGCATAATATTCGCAATGAGCATTTAATCACCTGTAAAGTTGGGTTATTACCATATTAATGAATAAGTATTTTTATACAATTCCATCTGTTTGACTCTCCATGCATTCTCTTTATTTGGTGTTATTTTTGTTAGAGTGGTTGGAGATTAGGGAATTGTGGTTTTTCAGCTCACTGAGTCGCTAAGAGAGGATTTGTAGTTTTAAATCATTCTAGATAGTCATATGGTATTCACAAAAAGGACTATTTAAAGTCAACCCTGACTATGGTTAGTTTCCTTTTAAACAAAAGTTGCATTTACAATTCAATTAATGCTATTGCTGTAGTAATGCAGTCTTCTAAATAGGCTGCCCCCTAATAGTCGACCAAATGTTAGCTGACGAGAAGAGTCTTAGTTGACCAAATTTTAATTAGTCGGTTAGTCGCAAAAAAAAAGTCACGCAATCCGTGACGGACAGATTGTAAACTCAGCTGGTCCATGTGAATTACAGTATGTATCATTCCTCGACCTAACTATGGCTTATCATTT